AGACATACACTAGCGTTTGATCAAGTTTTAGATCCCTTTTGAAGCTTCGGTGGATTGTTTTCTCTCTCACTCATGGGCTCGTGGGAATCCCATTTTAATCTCTGTCTTGGTTGACGCTTGGACAATCCGCCTCCACTACGTTCTAGTTCTCTTGGCCCGATTCCGTGCAGCAAAATCCCGTGAACGGAATTACCTGCCTCCCGCTCAAGTGAGATCATATCGTGATCGTCGTGCGGGACTGATGCAAGTGTAGTGTAGTCTGTATTACCTGCTCCTGAGTCATTCTCGCTTCAAACCCTCTCTGAGTGGTCCAGATGTGCGGTCTGCAAACCCGTAGCTTTTTGGTGGTAAGGTAGAGACGCTCCGTCTACACGCTATTGGCGAACGCGCCCCGATTCATAGACAAGCAAACAGACCAGCGGATAATAGTCGTCGAAGCGAGAGAGTGATAACAACTCATTGCTTGTTGGTTTGTGGTGTAAGTCGGTATCATAGTCCTTGACTCGAGACGTTGTATGCATGCGCGAGACCGGCGGAGGTGAGTTATATCAAATTCGACAGATTGCAGGACAGAACGGCACTGCACTTGCGGACGGAAGGACAATGCATTTATTTCAAAGCTCGGGTATTTTCCTCCCTCCTATTCCTCCGGGCATAACTGGATAGGGTTACGACAGATAATAGTAGAAGCACAACAGATGCTTCCTCTTGACTGTTTCGTGTTATTTCTCTGTAATGCTCAATATGATAGGCGGTATATACGTTAGTATCCGCATGCACTGCAGGGTCCTTTTCCAAACTTCAACCTACCCAGTCGACGATCCCGATGATCATGCAGGCTCGTCGCTCAAGGGACTTTTGACAGATATGGGGAAGCCGACCGTTGAGTGACCCTGCATCTGAATAATTTAACACTAGATTTTATTACCTACCTCTTATACATATCTCTCACTGCTGCATTAGCCAATGGGGGAGAAAGTCATATAGCAGCGCCGAATCATAGGTTTATGGATGGATCATGTCTGATTTTGTATGTATGCGTCTGTGTTTTGCATGAACCCATCGGCATCCGCACTGGGTTAACATCTCTGTTATTTTATCCCCCTTTCCTTTTCTTATTCCCTGCTACATTACATGAACTAAAGAAAAACGAATACTGGAAAGTGTGTCGGTTGAACAAAAGTATGGACTTTTGTAAAAGTACATTGCAGCGGGCTAATCGAACGAATGGGACGCTGGTCTTGGCCCGCAGCTGTCTGATGGGGACACTCTACGTTCACTTACACGACTTGAACCAAATTGCTGGGAATTGACTAGGTTCGTACAACTTTCACTTGTTCTATAGTGTATGTAGATCTCTCTGTCTCCCGTTTTTCCAACTACCTTCTTCAGTGAATTTCCGACTTTTGATATCTAGACACACACATATATATACAGATGCAAACTGTTATATCATGCACCGGAATTGGCAGCTCGACTCGCGCGGATTTCCCAGCCGACATGACATTCGACACATTCTGCTCACTTATACCTCATTGAAAACCTCCCCCAAACATCACCATCTTAAGCGCGTAATCTGAAATACCGGAAACCTCTTCTTTACTTACTACAAAAGTCATGTCCGCGAAAAAAACCGTGTTGATCACCGGTCTCAATGGCTATGTTGCGGCTCGAACTGCAGAGGCGGTGCTGAAGGAGGGTTACCGAGTGCGCGGAACGGTCCGAAATCCCGCGGCCGGAGAAAAGGTCAAGGAAACACTCATAGAACTGGGCTTCGACCAAGACGATATCGAAGTTATACATATACCAGATGTCTCGGCTCCAGGAGGACTTGACATAGCCGTAGCAGGTAGGAACTTCGGAGGTATTATCTTGGAAACTATGCTAAGCTAATTTGTATTATCTAGGATGCATTGCGATACTACATCTTGCCTCTCCATTTGGCGAGATATGGACTCTACCACCGTCAGAAATCGTTCGCATAGCCGTTGAGAGCACCACAAGCATCCTACACGCAGCTACGAATGCTGGTCCCCAGCTGCAGAGTGTCGTTTATGTGTCATCCGCAGCTGCACTGTTCAACACGCCCGTAGAAAACAAAACACACACCGAGGAGGACTGGAATACGACCTCCGAGAAGCTCGTGGAAGAGCTGGACAACGAAGCTGGCGGGTTCAACGCATACTGCGCGAGCAAGACAGCAGCGGAAAAGGTGTTCTGGAAATTTTATGACGAGCAAAAACCAAGCTTCGGCATGACAGCCCTTCAACCTACGTAAGCTTTTCCTCTCCCCCCTCCCTCAGCTTACATTGTACTACGTCCGGGACTCCCGCTTATACAAGGAATAGATACATAGTTGGAGAGCCCCTAATACCCTGGGAAAAGCGGGAACAGGTTCCTTACTCGATGAACCACTTTATGAGAATTCTAGCCGGCGAGGACATCCCGGAGCCCATGATGCTTTACGAGGACACCATCGACGTGCGAGACGTCGTACGCATGGTCGTGTGGTCCGCGATGCACCCAGACCAGGCGGGTGGCGAGCGCTTCATCTGCTCGTCGGCTGTCGGCGGAGGCCAGGCCATCGCGGATATCCTGAAACGAGACATGCCGTCGCTGGGGACGCAGGCTGGTAGCACGGGGCAGGGGTACCGGCCGGACTTCAGGCCCCGCGATGGCGTGGTCGGTTTCGACCAAAGCAAAGCGGTGCGGATGACGGGCCAGAGCTGGATCCCGTACGACACCACCGTTGTGGACTTGATCAAGTTCCTACAGCGATATCTCAGCTAAAATAGGGGTGCACGTATGTATGTAATATGTCACGATGTTACGCGATATGTATACTAGGTGAAGGCCGGCAGGAGATATACCCCTTGCGTGTGTTCTTTTTATACATAAAATCTGCTACTAAAAAACTAGTTATTTATGTACTTAATATTTCATAATATAATATATAGCCATTGACTCGAATCTCTTGTAATATGTCTTTCCTAAAGTGAAACCTACAGGTATAACGAATTACAGATTGAAGAGATCGGGGGCGAAAGGGGGGTTATAATGGACTCACCTTACGATTCTGCATATAATACTGAATGGGCACGTTGGTTGGTGCACGTTGAGATAAGAAGTGTGCTAATTAGTCCTCTTTTCTGCATGACAATCGCGTGACGAGGTTAAGCACGCTCTCACTCGTGGAAGAGAAACATTTGTCTATTGCAAACCTACATAACCTCCCTTGGCGGATGAACGGTATGCCTGCCTCACTCGTGGCATCCATGTATCGATTTGATAGGCCAAGGACGGGAATTGCACTGCGGCGACGGGAGGGAGCTCCCATTTTGGTCATATGCCCTTCTTTCTTAAAGGGGTATATAGAAAGGTATAGTCCCTGCAGACGTTGACAGGGGCGGGGGTATCTTGGTGTAGAACAGAATAGTATTTTACGACCAATCATATCGTGTTCTTTACCGATGGATTTATGTAGTGTCTCTATCACTAAAGTCCTATAGCCAGAGAGGCAACCAAGTCGCGGCGGGAGATCATACCCACGATGATGTCAAGACTTCTATAGAAACTAGATGTTAAATCGTATATAGAATGGGATACTGAGATATAGGGTGCATTTGTCATTTTTGATTCCTATATCTACCAATATGAATTCTGATATCGGTAGGATCGCTTATATTACGTTACTGCTCTCTGCGTTAGGATGTACTTTTGTTAATATTATATTTTTTCATCTGGCTGATCCTGCAAAATGCAGTGTCCTTTCACACCTAGAGGTTGATCAGTGAACTAACACAGGAGCTATCGGTCCCGATCTTATATGTATAAGTAGGTAGTATAATGGCCAACAGAAGGAATTCGAGGTTGTCTTTAACAACTACTGCTTCCGTTGCAGATCATATTCCCCACGGCCTATATAAACCGTACGATATAGACCCGCACTCAAGCTAACGTAAGATGCTAGTCAATCGCCCTTTACAAGTGCCTATTGGTGAATCTGGTAATTTGTCTAATCTGAAAACCTCCTTACCGCTACTATATCAAACTCATCTCGGTCAACTCGGCATAGATATTGTGGGTTCTATGAAGGCAACAGTAGCAGTCAAAATGTTCTTGTTTTACCTTACATTCGAAAAGCTAAGTTGTTGGAAGAGGCTTGTTTATCAATTATTACCTTGAATATGTGTTTTGTCATCCGGTTATTGTCTCTGCCCCTCTATAAACTCAAGGGTTATAGTCCTCGCTTTTGTACATGAATTTACATAGTATTGGCAATATAACAAAAGCAGCGATAGGAGGATATTTACTTACCTAGGTAGCGAGCGGTGTACAGTAGACCTATAGACAAGGCCACCTTTCTAAGTTCCCTCGTCTTCTTGGCACCCCAATATTCTTGTCGATGATTCGATAAAAGTTAACCTTACAAAATACAGTTAACCTACATCTCAAAACATCCTGTCCTTGGGTTTACCTTGACCACTATCCCGGGCTTCCAAGATATAATAAAGAGGTGATAATAAGTAGACATAAAACCAACCACATGTGTTTATAAGTAACATTTAAACCACAAAGGACATATACAAGCCAGGGTACACACAAGACTATAAGCATGTTTTCAATTATGAGCATCTATTATTGGAACCATCTTTGTTTTTTAGTGGTAATCCACTTATATATGTACTCATTCTGTGGCGTTATGTGAAATCAGGGGTCATCATGTATGTACAGCGCGCAATCCATTCACTTGACAATCACAACGTAACAGCAAACTAACCTAACCCTAGCACCACCGTCTACCTCTTCTTAGAGTGTATTAAGTGGAACCATGGTAAATTTTTTCTGAAGCTCTCGTCAATCGTCCCCGACCAAGGTTCGGGTTTTCACCCGGTGTTTGAGTCAGAGTGGGCCAAGTGGAAGAAAAAAAACTTCTCTTCTCAACCAGGATTTTGTCTAAGTAGCGTAATTGGGAACTGTTCTTCAACCGACAGCTTCAAGCCCGGTTAGCTCAATCGGTAGAGCGTGAGACTCTTAATCTCAAGGTTGCGGGTAAGTCACGAATTCCAAGCTTGCACGTTCAGTTCGGCAGCATGTTAACATCTCTTCCTAGGTTCGACCCCCGCATCGGGCTCAATTCCCGGTGCCTCGCTGGTTACAGCGAGAGCCTCGAAATCCTTCTTTTTTTTTTCTTTTAATTTTCTTGATTGATTTTCCTTTCCCTCATGTGTATATCCCATTTTTGTGGTTCAATCATTTCTTTTCCTCGTCAGTATAAATGTCATTTGTTGCTATCAGGTCCTATTATCCCATCCCTAGTATTCAGATTAGATGGAAGATACGAATAGTTGTCTTTCCTTATACAATATAGAAACTCGTTTGGTCACTGAAAAATCTTTAGGTTACCTCTACGCTCACCAAGGATAGGTTTCAGGTGAAGAGTAATATACAACTAATGACAGGCAGTATCAATGCCAAATTTAATCACGCAGGGAGATTGACATATCCTATCACGTCACTGATCAATGAATCCTAGAATATACCATAACTCTAAAATAAGTTGACTACAGGTAGTTACAGGAAAATAAATGCAATTTAATAATTTTTCTAAATCATTGATTTTGCTAAAGGCGTTTGTCAATAAAAGCCAGTCTAACTAAGTAGTTAGCATCTGACATGTCTCATAGTCCAAAAGGTATACAGCCAACGATTAATAAGGGCAACTCATAGTACGAATATTTCGACGAGGAATTGGCGGAATAGAAGCAACTAAACTCTAGGTAGTTGTATAAGTCCACATAACTTATAGCTTCCTATCTTAGTACCTATACTTCGCTCACATGTATTAAAGTGACATTGTTGATTATTCCGTATTCTGAGAATCAGGTTTACTAGTACATTCCTATCCCAGACATGATGTTAGAGTTCAATATACAAAGGAGAATTAATATCTAGTTTGAAGTAACTCCGCCACCTTTTAGATTATTGAGTCTGCAGAGAGCTACCATTGAATAGTCATTGTTTTAACCCTAGTCTTTCGTATTATAACAACAATCACAAGTAGGTGTTCTTCCCACATATAGTATGGAATGTGCCGGGGCTTTCATTACTTCAACCTAGAAACTGTTAATAAGCTTATAACCCTCGATTCATCCACGGCTTGTGGGTCTGGAGTTACCCGCCATTCAATAGATAATTAGGTAGCAAACAGAAAAATAGATTTATTCCATGGAAGAACCCATTGAATGTGAAAGCATAGACCCTCAGTCTATCTATATAAGGGACCCCTAGTACCTGATGAACAGGTCAAGTAACTTGCCAATTACTTCTTCTCAATCAACTTAGTTGCCTCTACTTCGTCAGCACGTCAGGAACATATAAAGATATTTTATATTGTAACAATCATCACTGTGCCCTTCTCGCCTCAACATACGGGAATCAACCTTTGCTATGCAACATTCTACACCTTCGGGCTCTCGGCCCGAAATTGGTAAGAATGAGAGTCGTGTTCTTGTAGATATACTCTTTGGCCGAGGTGGAAAGGGAGTTGTACCCTTGATCGCCTGTCCTGTTCCACCACCGGTTCCTATGGCCTTTCGTAAGGCCATCCGCCCTACGCAATCCCAACCCCAGAACAACCGCAATACCGACAAGAAGGCTGTTGGCGATCCAAAAAACAAGACTAACACCAAACAATTCGTCAACTTCAGCAGCCTCCCTACGGAAATTCATCTACTTATCTTCGCCCAGTACGAAACTATACCGGATCTAATTTGCTTCGGTGCCACAAGCAAATACTTCTGGACTATCGCTCGAGAATCTCTCCATGATTATTTCGCTTCAATGCTAGGACGATGGAGAGTTGATAATGTTGGCTATATAACCAATTTTTGGAAAACAGAATTCCATGACGCTGGGTTTTACGTGGTCGACCAAAGATTGTATCCTCAACGGCCCATATGGAGAAACTTCACGTTCTATAACCATCTGAAATCTATGACAGAAACGGCATACACGAGAGCTTGTTCCCAGGGCAATCATGATCCTGCGTTCAAGTTGATAAAGGAGGACATCATATGCACGCCGACAACCTACTACCCGCAAGACGAGCCGTGGATTCTGCGAAATACCACGACTAAAGAGTTTGTCCGTGCGGAAGCTATTGCTCTAGATCCACAATATATCCACGGACCTGAAATCGATGGTATAGGCTTCGATGAGGTTCTCGCAATGCGAACTTGTTGCTCGCCGCCGTTCACCGTGGACCCTCCACATGGGAGATACATCGCTAGTGGGGTGTGGGTAGGGCATATTTTCGACATCACTACCGTTAAGAGACACGAGTCTGAAATTAAGAAGACTAAAGAAGAATGGAGAGATGTGAGTGAGGAAGTGGCACGTGAGATTGCAAGTGTCTGCGAAGATTGTTACGGCCCTAATTGGCTTTATCCATTTTGCAACTGGGTGGAAGGAGAGCGCAGGTATTATCGTCGGGATGATCCAAAATCTTTACCTCTCGCAGCCTACTATAAGGTTTAGAGAATGCAGACCCGCCACTATCATTCAGCAAACCCCTGAATCTACCTCTAAGTGTCATAGTCATGCAGGGTTGATAAGTGAGCGGAACATCGTTCGGGAGTGATGCGTGCGATTTATATTGTATTCAGGTAGCAGAGGGGAGAGAGTGATTAGGGGATACTTTCCCATGTTGTTTGTTTCTCTTATATAGCAACTAATCGATCTCAATAACCCCTAAACAAGCATTTGCTGTGCCAGTTTCAAAGTTGACATCACATAAAAGTTGTAGATTAGTAGCGTAGTAGTAGTGTTGGTTGATAGCTCCTAAGCTACCAAGCTACTCTACCTACGGGATATGTTGCTGGATCCGGAATACGACCCACCCCTCCATTTGGGAAATCTGGAGAATCCTTGTCTGGGGATGAAGAGAATTGTGGGATCGACACCTATGAGGAGCAATTCCGAGCGGCCTTCCCCACGATACTTATCTGCATTGGGTCTGCTCGGTGTTGGCAAGGCAGATCTCAGCGGCCATTAGCATGAAGAGAATTTGTCACAGTGCAGCAACCCCGTTTACTAAACCAGGGAAGATACAAGTCAGCTGAAGCATTCCAATATGTCATGGCCATGGCATGCGGGGTTTGTCGACGTCCCACACGAGCCGATCCCTTGACAGTAGTTTGGGGTAATGTAGACGATCCGAGATGAGCTTTGAATCCCGCAGATGCTTCAGCACTTCTCGTTCTCCGCCAACCCCGTCAACTTAAGTGCTTATCGAGGAAACTAATCCCCGCATGAAACCACGACGCGTGTGCGATGGTTGTCGGAAGAGCCATCGGAAATGTGTTGTTCAGACAGGCGAGAAAAGGTGTGACCAATGTAAGGAGGTAGACCGAGAATGTTCTTTTGGCAACAAGTTTCGTTTTAGGCATGCCCGGAGGCGGTCTGAACATGAAGGTCTCTCAAGTAAGCATTTTCTTCTTTCTTTTTTTCTAATAATTCCGAGAAGGGAAAGCTGACAAGTTCTAGTTCGATTCGAAGCTCTTTCTCGTGACCCATCTCCTGTTAATAATTCGGATCCATCGCCTACGCCTCTGGATAATGCCGCTTTGTTTGGTTGTAACCAGCCCTCGGGAGCATCGAGAGATGATGACTATGAATATTACCCAGAGCCGCCTCAAAAGGAGGGACACGAGAACGACAACTTCGGTTTATACTCGCCAATTAGCAATAGCCAGCGACAATTTCCCCTGGTCCAAACATCTCAAGCTACGCAACATCCAACAGGCCACAATGTTGCCTCCATATCTTATATACTTAGCAACTCTCCGTCCACTGGGTCCCCTGTTATAGGACTGTCTCCCATTAATACAGCATCTGCACTCGAATCCCAGCCTCGGTTGCCCCGGTTTACTGAACGTGAAGCTTATTTATTTCGACTTTACATAGCCAAGCTAGCACCATCGGTGAGAGTCACATTCTGGACTGATATTAATGGGTGTAGATCTGACTGGAGGTTACGTGAAAGGCTGACGGATGCGACGAAGCCCGGCATTTTACGTTAGAAGTCCCTCGACATGCTCTTACCGAACCAATGATCCTAAATGGGATACTTGCCTTAGCAAGTCGATACGACGGTCTTTGCAATAACTCTAAATACAACATTGAGAGCACGGCATATCATAATCGATGTATCGAACTGCTTATTGGTGCTTTCTCAAGGCCACCGGCGACCTGGGACTCCATGCTATTGACTGCTGTGGTTTTCGCTCGCCTATATGAAGAGTACGACAACGAAACTGACCGTGAATTTGTGCATTTACGCGGTACAAAAAATCTACTGACACATGATGCCGTTGCGCGGTTCGTGACTGAAGGGGGTCTTGCCGAGGCAGCAAGCTGGGTTCATCTGCGACAAGCTATTTATGTCTTTCTCATATGTCGGAAGCCCGTTGACATGTGTTTGGATAACTTCAGAAGGTCCACGGCGTTCCGGAACAACGACGACTCTGCCCATGCGAATAGAATGGTTTATCACTTTGCCAGGACGATACAATTATTCTTTGCTGATGATAATGTTAATACTAAATATGACGAGGACGTGGAGAGGGGGAAGTGGAATGAACTAGAGCAGAATATCGCAAGTTGGTTTAACGACAAGCCCCCGTCTTTCGAGCCTATCTACGAAATAGAATCAGACCCGGATAACGGCCGTGCTCTCCCAACCATATGGATGGCGGCGACTGTCCCCGGTAAGTGTTATTCCGTGAGTTATCTAGACAGAACAGCTAATTCTCAACCCTCTAGTAGTCGCTTTGCAGCACTACTATGCCGCGAGAATAATATTTTGTTTACGACAGCTTAACGAGAACAAGAACCAAAGAGAATTCGAAGCAGCAAAAATGAGACGAGATAACGAGGTACATAACACACCCTGTTCGCGGTAGAGAAATGAGCTTTATAACTGATAATTCTGATAGAGAACCATCGTATGCTTCCTTGTAAAGTTGATGGGACTTGCAGTATCTAATGGAGAAGTGATCAATGCATGGTTTCTGCCTTCCCACATGCTCTCTCTGTGTAAGTCATCAATAAATACCCATCTACTGTGTGTGC